CTCTCTTTTTCTCGCTTTCTCTCTCTCTCTCTCTCTCTCTCTCTCTCTCTCTCTCTCTCTCTCTGTCTATCGATCTCGCCATCTCTCTCTTTTTTTCTCGGTTTCGTACGCGCGCTCCCTCTTCCTCTTCTTTTCTTTGCTTCTTCTGCTCTCCTTCTCCGGAGTTCTCTTTCACTCTCTTTCGTTCTCTTCATGTTTTCGTCCCATCGATTGAACTCTCGATGTTGTGTCTCTGTGTGAGCAGATCCCGGACTCATCGCCGCTCCCGGCTACGTCTTCCTATAGTGTTTTTTCACTGCGGCGACTTTGCGAACAAAAGCGATCGGGGCGATACGCCAAAAATTGCCGGTTTCCTGTATAAACACGATTTTACGAGGCGCTCTCGGGCGCCATTGTGCGCGCGCGCTCGCGCTTTGTGCGCGCCACAATGGCGCAGTCACGAGCTGTCATCAGCGACATAACAGCGCAACAATGGCGACGATGCTGTGCGCGCTGAAGCTGTCGCCGCGATGCCGTTGTTGCCGCGTCATCGTTTCCTGATGGAGGGGCAGCGTCGTGCGCCGACCGCCGCCATGTATATATATTTATAACGATGTTTACTTATAATTACGCGCGGCTCGTTGTCAGTCGTTTTAACTCTTTCGTTGCGGATTTTCGTCTTACGGCAGCGAGGACGAACGAACTTGCGGTCTGAATCGTGTCTCGCGCCTTTGTGTTAGCGACAGACGCGTGTAGGTCGGCGTGGTCAGAGCTCGCCGAATGCACGCGTAACACCTGCGCGTTTGTACACGCGGCCATCAACTATGCAGCCGTTGATGCAAACGACTTCACTATTCCATCCTGTTCTGCTAGCATCTATGACAAATACGAGTCGACATACGCATATACGCTCTCCTATGACACTATTTGTCATAGGAAGATTCTTCCTGTGACAAATATTGTTGTATGTGTTGTGCGCATCATAGGAGTTTAGGAGCGCTATTATGAACGCAAGCAGTGAATTTCAGCTGTAAAGCAGAACGAAGTTGACTCGCCAATATTTGTCATAGATGCATGCAGAACATGTTGACTATTCATATTGGACACGTTGGTGGGGTGCGAGGGGGGGAGGGGCTATCAAAAGACGTGTTGACGGTCCGGTTGAAACCAAAGATCAAATGCTACAGGTTCACGCTGCAAAAAGAGAATTTTTTCCTCTTTCTGTAACTCATTTGGTGGCAGCGCAGTTGTGACGGGATTTACCTACACTATTAATATTTTGACGTAGAGCGTTAACAAAATATATTTAGTGTTTGCCAGTCAGAAACTTGTCAGTGTGAAAATTGAGATCAGTGGTTAGCGAGCACTGGCTTAATTGGTAGGTTTGGAATTTTTCAGAGATATTTTTTTATGGACCCTGTGAGGAAGTCTTTTCTTTCAGCGCTAACCTCAATGCCTTTCTGGCAAGAAACGTACAGATGAATAGCCGTAACAAACTGTCGCCAATAAACGGCAATTGAAATAGCAATTTCAAATCGCTTTATAATTAATCTGACAAGAGTTTGTGACAAGTGCCGATCATTATTTGTATTATTATTTTGTATTTATGTATTTATGTATTTATGTATGTATAGTATTTTATTATTGGTGTCATTATTGGTTTATAGTTGCTAACCGCAAAACAGAGACTGAGTAAGGTAGAAGTGTGGATTTAATGGATTATCACCAGCTTGCCAATTCATGCAGGAATATTATTCTTATTCGAATATTTCAACTTGTCATCTGTTCCACTGCAGGTGTTCATTTTCTACGGAGCAAGAACAAATACGCTGTTCCTGATCCACAGTGGCTTTGTGTGCAAGAACAATCTGTATGACACTGTACCTGTAAAGCTAGGTGAGTAGGAACTTTATTAGCTCATTTTTGTGCCCTCACTTCTTCACTCGTTTTATATATTTGCTCCGCCCAGCAGACTAGCCTTACAGTATAAACACTTGCTTCACCAGTATAAACACGTATTATACTCCGTTCTCTTCCATGTGGGGTATCTGGTTCCTCCCTCAGTTTAGTCACCATCTACTGCTGTCATAATACCAGGAGTAAATAATAATAGATTATTTATAATTTATAATTATAATAATAATAGTAATTTATAATTATAATAATAATAATAATTTATAATTATAATCATATTAATAATTTATAATAATCTATTGTTGTTCACTCCTGATAATATCACCTGATAATATGATTGTATTACTTGCTGACGCTCTTGCAATAATATGGGTGTTGCTATCCCCCTGGCGTGGAGGGAGGTCACGTGATAACGTTGACGATGACGTTCAAAACGTTAACCCTCACGGTAACCCTCACGGTAACCCTCACTCCAACACCGCCAACACTAACCCTCACACTAAATATATATGTCTCACCGCGCTATATATAGGCATTGTGATCCACAAAAATATTAATCTATGGTGTGGGGACAGATATCATGATGCAAAAACCTTAACTCTAATCCTAATCCTAACCCTAACCCCTACCCTAATCCTAACCCTAACCCTAACCCTAATCCTAACCCTAACCCTGACCCTAACCCTAATTCTAACACTATCCCAACACTAGTGCTGCCACGTTGCGGTCACCTCCCTCCACGCCCGGGGGATAGCATTACCCCAATAATATGCTACAAATAGGAATTAGATAGTGCTGCCATCTAGCGAAAAATAAAATCGTTAGTGTCGTGTGTTTGAAGTGCCAGTTAATGGTTAAATCATATAGGCTATAACAGGCTATAACCTAATAGGTTTAAACAATATTACAAGAAAGGGATATTATAATTAATTATTGTTCACGTTATTACGGTTAACGTTTTTTTAAAGTTAACAGAATAACATTGCAGTTAAAGGAAAGTCTTTGTACTAACAGCCTATAGTAGATAAAGTACCAGAAAATTTGTTTTTGGCGATAACACATATTACAGTTATGTTACCTACATACTAATGAGTGGTTTTTTCAGGAATAAGCAAGAGTGATCCACTATTCTATGAGAAATGCATTCTGCTAACAAGACTGGAAATTTCTGTGTAAGTGCAGATTTGTGTCTTACTATAATTTCTAGAAATATCAAAGTGTAGTGGCATTCAGAAGAGTAACTCTGATGGAAACATTATGTTTGCAATACATGCTTCATGAAATAGGTGTAAAGGATCCCAAATAATTTCTTTGGTTCTCCCCGGAAAATGATTTTCATAACAAGTTTCCGAAATAATAGAACTCACTGATCGAACTTCTTTATCGTAGAAATAGGAGAATGAGAGATTTCACAGTCTGAAGTTCAAAACTAAAGAGAACAAAAGATTTAAAATCAGTAACTAGTGCAGTAACAAATTATTGTGCTATCTGCTGTACATTACTGCAGAATTCCAGTTTTAAACACTAAAAGCACCATTGCATTAAGTCCTTTTTAGATGTTTGGTTATATAGAATATTCAGCAACCTTCACAATTAATAATTACTTAACATGGTTTTATAGCTAATTTAGGCATAGAGAATTTGCCATGAACCTCATGCTCCTTAAAATGTAGTGTTTAGCATTCAGTGCGATGCTGCTTAAAGATCGCAGCAAGGTATGACAAGGTAGAGACATAGTAATCACGTACTCTTCACGAGAGACGTGTATCGGGGTCAGATTTTGTGTGAAATTTTCGAAAGGTGAAATAGTGGTCACATCATTAACGCGTGACTGCCAAAAATAGATTATAATTCCCACGTGCAGTCATAAGTATATGTTCATGTGATATCAAATTATAATTTAATGCCGTTTTAAAATTTAACCACTTAAGGATCTATCTGTGTTCAGAAGCGTAGAATGCTGTAGAAGACAATGTCTGTGAGCAAACGTGGGTTTTTATATCTGACGTTCAGCCGAGGACTGAAGACTGTTGACACAGGCACGAATCGATAAGTAATCACTTTTTCCTGCGTGTTCCGCACATAGGGGTGTTTGTTTAGTACGAAATGATCAGATATAGATGTGAATATAGCTATGTGGCTTTGTCAAAGTGTTTTTTGTATCGCAAGTTTTTGGACTAAATGGAGAGTATTCAGTTCAGTTATAAATAACGTCATTCTCCAGCCTTCAAATGGAACGCATTTGCTTATAAAAATTAGAAAGTGATAATTAAAGGAATATATACAAGAATGCACGTTTTCTTTCCGTTTACCACAAGCTCATATGGAAAATCCTTGAGAGAGTTCTCTGTGCTGACAGATGACTTTGCTTGTTGCTCACCTTGACATCGTCAAGATGAGCTATTGCCATGGGTCGTCGTCTGTCCGTCCATCCGTCCGTCCGTCCTTCCGTCAACATTTGGCTACGGTCAATGATAACTCAGGAACCGTTTGACCCACATGATTGAAATTGGGTATAGTTGTTACTGCTATGCTCTCATATTGAACGTCCTATTTTGGAGCCTGCCAGTCGACGTACTTTCGAGCCACGGCAATTTTTTGGAAAAAATGGGTCAGTTCAGGTTCAACGGATTTTGCTCATTTTTGGTATGTGAATGAATAAGGGCCAGGGGTTTTGATATTTAAAAAAAAACTATGCAAATTAGGTAGGTTTTGGCAATTATATAGCATATTATGTTATAGACACGCAGATAACAGTCTGTGGTGTCACACTCGTCTGGTTCGTTTTACAAGATTTCATTGACAATACCTTTAATGCAAAATTGGTATTTCCCCTCCGCCGATAAAACGTCTATATTAGAGTAAAGTTTTACAAAACATGTCGGAACGCAGCATAACCTATTTATTTCGAACGCCATCGCTAAGAAACATCAAAGCGGGTATAGCGCTATCTACCGTCACAAATTGTGATTCATTTTGGTTTATAAATTATTATTGCGATATACAGATGGCAACCGTGTGCTACCGCCTATAAAAACTCATACGAAGTAAACACTTCTATGCAACCAATTAACCTTTGACAAAAGTTGTGTTATGGGCAGGGAAACGTCATTGTCACGTGGTATATAGCAGCTACGTGGAATAAGCGTATCCTCTCAATCTTACAGTTACATATCGGGAGATCCGCTTTTAGGCAGTGCCTAAATCTGAATAATATATTATAAAAATGTTAAATGGCAATCATTTAGGTGTAACGCCATCACTCGCTACATCTCAGACTTTCACATCTCAAACATTTATTTTCACATAAAAAATTACACATGTAATTATCAAGAGTATATATAATGGGAGTTCTCCCATATATACTCTTCGTTTCTATAATGTACGTCGATGGTTGCTCAATTAAAACTGACTTTTTCTCATTCACTCATTTATGTCCTTTTTTGTGGTGAGCTACAGTGTCATTGACACTTTCATTTTTAGTTACCACTTTATGCTAACGTCTCTCTCGGTCTGTCTGTCTGTCTGTCTGTCTGTCTGTCTGTCTGTCTGTCTGTCTGTCCGTTCGTTCGTCTGTCCGTCCGTCCGTTCGTCCGTCCGTTCATCCGTCTGTCCGTCCGTCTGTCGATCCGTCCGTCTGTCCGCCCGTGTGTATCTGTGTCTGTCTGTCTGTCTGTCTGTCTGTCTGACTGTGTGTCTGTGTGTTTGCCTGTCTGCCTGCTTGTCTTTTTGTTAGTGTGCCCGCTGTCTCCCTCCCTCGCCTTCTCTCTTTCTCTGTGTCTCTCCCTCACTCCCTCTCATACTCTTCTCCTCTACTTGCTATAAATTGCCCGTCTCTCTTTCTTAGTTGCATTTACCCGATCTCAATTCCTCGTGCTGCGAATAGACCATGTCCGCATTTACGGGACCATATCGTAGAGCTCGCGAGAGTGCCACGGTTTACATAGACGTTTACATTGAGCCGATGCAGTCATCTAAACAAACACATTTGATTCTACTTAAATACGTAGCGAATACGTCCCATGCCATTTGCCAGTTTCAGATACTCAAACGATAGCCGAGTAATCGCGTTATTTAAGTAAACAGACACCAGAGTTTGATTACGCTTTCAATGCGCACAGTTGCACGCAACCCGACAACGAAGCCATCGTTAGCCTTTATATAGCAACGCGCTCTGTCACGAGCCAAGATGGCGGCAAACATTGGTTGCGTGTTGCTGTTGTACCCGGCTCCAAGGGTAAAGCCTGTTAAACCGTGCCGGATAGGACATCATCAGCATGCGTAGTATCTTCTTGGTTCCTTCTCCTCGTGGAGAATAGGGCTGTAAATCAAATTTCTCCATGACGTTCTATCTTTGGCAGTTCTTTCGGCCTCGTTTAACTGTTTTAACCCCTAATGTGATCCTTTCTTTCTCCACTGTCCTTCGCCATGTTTCCCTTGGTCTTCCCCCTTTTCTCTTCCCCTCCGGGCCCATGTCAGTGCAATGCGCGGGTTTTCGTCCTTCTTCATTCTGATGACATGGCCAATCCATTTCCATCTTCCTCTTTTTATCTACAGGCTGATTGTTTCGATGTTAGCTTTCTTCCTGGTGTTGGCGTTTGATACTCTCATGGGCCAGTATATCTTCATTCTTCTCCTTAAGCATTTATGTTGGAAGGTGTCTAGCTTTTTCTCATCTCCTTTTCTCTTTCTCCAAGTCCCGCTTCCGTATACCAGTATCGAATACAGTATCCATGCGTAGTATACGTGGCAACAACTCGTTGCTTGGCAATTTGCCGGGTTGGGATGTCTGTCTTGTGTCTGTTCGCTGCTCGGTCACGCGAGCCGAGGCAATCCAATTTAGCGAAATGTAAGTGAATAGGGTTTCACTCTTTGCGATTGATATCGCGATTGCTCGAAGCACGACGATGCTTTCATCGGTTTGAGAAGCTCTCGCGACTAGAGATGTAGTAGCGACCAATTTCACTCATAATAGGTGTAGCGCCACTGTACAGTTATGTATCGTAGAACATGCGTTTACGTCTAACGTGTTGTGCGGGCTTTCAGATCCGATGTGTTATGCTGATTTCTTCCGCTAATAGGCTCTATTATATCTATCCATCTTATATCTATATTTTTGTGTACGAACTCCCCCCACCCAATTTTTAGCTCGCCTTGACATCGTCAAGATCAGCTATTGCCACGGGGTGTCGTCCGTCGTGCGTCCGCCCGTCCGTCCGTCCGTCAACATTTGGCTATGGTCAACGATAACTCAAGAACCGTTTGACCCACAATTGTTTCAAATTGCATATAGTTGTTACTCCTATGGGAGAGGTTTGGACGTCCTATTTTGGAGCACGCCAGTCCACCTACTTTCGAGCCACGTCCACTTTTTGGCAAAAATGGCAATGGCCATAAGTCAGTTCAGGTTCAACGGATTTTGCTCGTTTCTGGTATGTGAATGAATGAGGACTGGCCCCAAAACATATCACACAGGTTTTGATATTTTTTTAAAATTATGCAAATTAGGTAGATTTTGGCAATTTTACTATGCATTTCAATGTCTGCCTACGGTCAACGATAACTCAAGAACCGTTTGACCCACATGTTTCAAATTGCATACAGTTGTTACTCCTATGGGAGAGATTTGAACGTCCTATTTTGGAGCACGCCAGTCGACCTACTTTCGAGCCACGCCCACTTTTTGGCAAAAATGAAAATGGCCATCTAGATTCATTCGATTTTGTTAAATTTTGGTATATGAATGTGTAAGGCTACCCCCAAAACAGTTGTTACTCCTATGGCTATGGGAGAGATGACAACGTCCTATTACGTTTATTTTGTCTAACTGGTTAACAACTCTACAATCATACCCAGGGGCGGATCCAGGGCTGAAGCTAGACAGTATTTTTCCAGATTTTAAGGGCACATCCCCCAAAAAGGGCACACCGCCCCACAGTGGGCACCGTTAGGCGCGGAAGCACATGGCGGGGGGTCTGGGAGGCCTCCCCCAAGAAATTTCAAAATTTCAAGGGTACCTGGGCACAAAAATAAGCACCATTTGAGCACACATTTAGTCAAGCAGCAATAGCTAAAAACCATATGGAATTTTATTTCTGCTTCATTTTGCCTGCGCTTTGCATACCAGCAATCACTCCTGCAGCAATTAATGCCGAATGATTCAAGCACTTCCTTTCTTTTTCAGATATCAAAGCTAGTTTTGTTACCATGTAAAATTTTGATTTCCTTCAAGTCCTGTCAATGAATCAGAAGAAAAAGAAAACAAATAAAGAATATAGCCAAATTCCATCAAATTGTTTTCTGTATTTTTTAGCACAAAATTTTGAAGGGCACTTTGAAATCTAGACCGTATTTCCCAATACGGCAAATACGGTTTGAATCCGCCCCTGATACCTATATACGTTTAATATTGTGTTTTAGATTCTTCGTTACAGTAATTTGACTGGACTATTTTATTGTTTTTATTTGCGCGATATTCGAAAACCAAAATGGCGATCATTTTGGCGTAGCGCCATCTCTCGTCAAGATTTCAGACTTTCAGATCTGAAACATTTATTTTCTCATCGAAACTTATGCATATATCATTATCAAGAGTATATAATGGGAGATATGCTATATAATGGGAGTTCTCCCATATATACTCTTGCTTTAT